AGTGGGTGAGTGAGTGTGTGGGTGAGTGAGTGAGCGAGTGTGGTGAGTGGGTGAGTGTGTGATGGGTGAGTATGTGGGTGGGTGGGTGAGTGAGTGGGTGAGTGTGTGATGGGTGAGTATGTGGGTGGGTGGGTGAGTGAGTGGGTGAGTGTGTGATGGGTGAGTATGTGGGTGGGTGGGTGAGTGGGTGGGTGAGTGAGTGGGTGAGTGTGTGATGGGTGAGTATGTGGGTGGGTGGGTGAGTGAGTGGGTGAGTGGGTGTGTGATGGGTGAGTATGTGGGTGGGTGGGTGAGTGAGTGGGTGGGTGAGTGTGTGATGGGTGAGTATGTGGGTGGGTGGGTGAGTGAGTGGGTGAGTGGGTGTGTGATGGGTGAGTATGTGGGTGGGTGGGTGAGTGAGTGGGTGGGTGAGTGTGTGATGGGTGAGTATGTGGGTGGGTGGGTGAGTGAGTGGGTGAGTGTGTGATGGGTGAGTATGTGGGTGGGTGGGTGAGTGAGTGGGTGAGTGGGTGTGTGATGGGTGAGTATGTGGGTGGGTGGGTGAGTGAGTGGGTGAGTGGGTGTGTGATGGGTGAGTATGTGGGTGGGTGGGTGAGTGAGTGGGTGGGTGAGTGTGTGATGGGTGAGTATGTGGGTGGGTGGGTGAGTGAGTGGGTGAGTGTGTGATGGGTGAGTATGTGGGTGGGTGGGTGAGTGAGTGGGTTAGTGGGTGTGTGATGGGTGAGTATGTGGGTGGGTGGGTGAGTGAGTGGGTGGGTGAGTGTGTGATGGGTGAGTATGTGGGTGGGTGGGTGAGTGAGTGGGTGAGTGGGTGAGTGTGTGATGGGTGAGTATGTGGGTGGGTGGGTGAGTGAGTGGGTGAGTGGGTGAGTGAGTGTGTGGGTGAGTGAGTGAGCGAGTGTGGTGAGTGGGTGAGTGTGTGATGGGTGAGTATGTGGGTGGGTGGGTGAGTGAGTGGGTGAGTGTGTGATGGGTGAGTATGTGGGTGGGTGGGTGAGTGAGTGATGGGTGAGTATGTGGGTGGGTGGGTGAGTGTGTGATGGGTGAGTATGTGGGTGGGTGGGTGAGTGTGTGATGGGTGAGTATGTGGGTGGGTGGGTGAGTGTGTGATGGGTGAGTATGTGGGTGGGTGGGTGAGTGAGTGGGTGAGTGGGTGAGTGAGTGTGTGGGTGAGTGAGTGAGCGAGTGTGGTGAGTGGGTGAGTGTGTGATGGGTGAGTATGTGGGTGGGTGGGTGAGTGAGTGGGTGAGTGGGTGAGTGAGTGAGTGTGTGGGTGAGTGAGCGAGTGGGTGGGTGAGTGAGTGTGTGATGGGTGAGTATGTGGGTGGGTGGGTGAGTGAGTGGGTGAGTGGGTGAGTGAGTGTGTGGGTGAGTGGGTGGGTGAGTGAGTGTGTGGGTGGGTGAGTGAGTGAGTGGGTGGGTGAGTGAGTGTGTGGGTGAGTGAGTGTGTGGGTGGGTGGGTGAGTGGATGAGTGAGTGTGTGGGTGAGTGGGTGAGTGTGTGGGTGAGTGAGTGTGTGGATGAGTGAGTGAGCGAGTGGGTGGGTGAGTGAGTGGGTGGGCGGGTGAGTGAGTGTGTGGGTGAGTGAGTGAGTGAGTGTGCGGGTGAGTGGGTGAGTGAGTGTGTGGGTGAGAGAGTACGTGAGTGTGTGAGTGGATGAGGGAGTGTTGTGATCTGCAAGTGTGGGTGGTGGTGGTTGAGTCTGGTAGACTGAATCCTCAACATTGGTGCAAGAATCAATGACTGAAGTTTATAGAAACAGTAAGCATGTTCGTAGCAATAGAATAGGTTTACTGGTCACAAGAAAAGGTGACTGGTCACGAGGACAACGAGGCTCGTACAACAGCGAGGCGCCATCGCCGTAGCAGGCAATCCTGCACAACCCCCTTGTAGGGTCGGGGGTTACCCGTGGTGTAGACGGGCCGCTAAGGTGTCACGGTTGGGCTGTCTGCGGGGAAGGAAGGATCATCGCGGGGCCTCGAATTTGTTTTTAGTTTTTTTTTTCAAATCTCAAAGCCACAACACAAAGAGCAGCGGTTCCTCCCCGCATGGAACACCACAAGCAGCTGCAATAACTCGTCACCCCGAACAAAACCGGCACGGCTGGAGGGGAGTGGGGAGGAGGAGGAGGGGGAGCTGTCTCGAGGTACGAGGCACGGACACCTGACCATGTGCAACGCTCCCTGCACCCTCCACTTAAGCAGTAAGGAGGTCTGCCGTAGAACCAATCAGATTTACACGACGCTTGCTTCACCCAGGCATGTTGTTCAGGAGGATTCTGATATATTGCGACGCTTGGCCAACACTGATGACAGAGAGAGAGAGAGAAACCCGAGAAAGTGGAGAACCCCCCCCACACACACAAACAGGGGCGAGAGCATACAAACTCTACGAAGAAAGGCGCCCGAGTCCGGCATCGAACCTAAGTTGCCGCTTGACGTAGGGGACGAGTGATACCAGATGGTTTGTATGGGGATCGGACTCTGCTGCTCGGGCACTCATGCAGAGTTTACACGAACGCCAGGCCGCGTGGTGTCTTATCCGCAGCAGCTCCAGCGGGTGTGGATGCCACCAAATACAGACGGAGATTCCTTTGCTAGACACGATGAATTTATGAGGTTCAGGCCTGCGCAGCGGTGGCACTGGTGCCTCACAGCGAGAAGGGCCTGGGTTTGATTCCCAACTCGGGTGTCTGTGTGTGTGGAGTTTGTGTGATCTCCCCCTTGTTCTGCATGGGTTTCCTCCGGGGTTATCTGGTTTAGTTCCATAGCTTTACAACAAAAAACACGTGGATTGTAACCCGTATTGGCCAAACATCCCAAATGCTGAAAATAACACTGCAAATTACTCAACTGGGATGACACAGAGCTGCAACATCGCCCTCCCTATTCTGAAAACTGGACAAGACCCTCCTGAAAAAGAGTCTTGAGACTCAGTGACGCCTTCCTGGGTGGACTATTATAACCACAATACTCGTAATACGCTTACACAATCCGAATATTGTTGGATTCATTTATCTCGCTATTTAACCAAGAGAGAGAGAGAGAGACCAATGGGACACCGTAGAAAAGGAACATAATAATCGCGTCTCACTTGTACATAAGTGGCATCTTCTTTGGTGCTTTCGGTAAAGTCACGTAGAATGAGAATAAAATAATAAATTGATAAAATAAAATAACACAATAATATTCTCACGACGTTTCGGCCACAACACAAGCGGCCTTCATCAGGAGAAGGGACGAGACTGTCTGGTAGGACAGCGCTGGAGTGAAAGAGCCACGTTCAGATCACGACTTTTAAGCTGTGAGAGGAAACAAAGCGCCCTCAACTTTAGCACAGTTTAGCACAGTTGAGGGCGCTTTGTTTCCTCTCACAGCTTAAAAGTCGTGATCTGAACGTGGCTCTTTCACTCCAGCGCTGTCCTACCAGACAGTCTCGTCCCTTTACCTGATGAAGGCCGCTCGTGTTGTGGCCGAAACGTCGTGAGAATATTATTGTGTTATTTTATTTTATCAATTTATTATTGTATTCTCATTCTACGTGACTTTACCGAAAGAACCAAAGAAGATGAATCATTGCAGTCACGAAAGCTTTAAATCGAAATATAAGTGGCATCGTTCGTGCAAATAGCACATCAGCGTTCACCCCGAACACGCGGCACGAAAAATAAACCAGAAGCGGCGCCAGCAATTTGCCCCCAAGGTCTCTGCTGGCGCTCACGTGGGGCCGCTTGGTCAGCTCCATCCATGAGCGTTGTTTGTGCTACACGTGGGGAGGAGGAAGCCGGAGCGCCCGGAGAAAACCCCACGCGTGCGAGAGGGAGCAACGCTCGATGCCCCATCCGTGGGGTAGAAACACCGGACGGATGGAAATTAACCCACTTGCTCGGCTGCAGTGGTTCTTAAACTGTCACTGCAGCCTTGCACCCCTTTGGTTCTTCTTAATCGTAAAAAAAATATATAATGTTAATAAATACGTAGGGTTTGATGAAACAAAGTAAGTTGTTTCTCACGTGCCCGTGCTTACTTTGTGTTTCCATGATTTACCTTCTGAAAGAAAAAATATCGCATGTCTCGCATCCCCAGAGAGGGCATCACGCATCCCCAGGGGGTGCGTGCACCCCGGGTTAAGGTGCACTGGCCCTACTGCCACCATACCCTGGCAAGAGTCGGGAGATCCTGACCTCGACACGCACGGGTAGGGAGTTTCACAAATTCGCGTGAACCACCAACCCTGACCTCCGGTGCTGGACTACAGCCGTGCAAAGCGGTCAGGAATACACGAAACATGTACAACGCGTGTATGTTTCAACTTATATTCTGGAATCTTTGGCATTTTACTATTTTCCCAATGTTTTCATATTCACTCATCACACTGAACGCTGTTATTGCTTAGCCACATTTCCCGTGATACCTAGCTGTGAAGTGCATCGTGAAGTATGGTCAAACAAGCCCCCATATCTAAAACGGGCTTCCTCTGGGTTCTCTGATTTCTTCCCATGTCTAAAGCACACACACAATGCAATTGATATTGGGAAAGAAAAAAACATCCCAATGCTGAAAAAATACCCTAAAATTACCCATTAGGGATTGCACTTAGCAGCAACATCGCCACCTACTGGAGTTTGCGTGTCTCTCTCCCCGTGGTCGCGTGGACTTTTCTCCGGGTCCTCGGATTTTCCCCTCCACATTTAGAAACATGCGTTTAGAGTATTTGGCTATTATACATTTCCACGTGATAAGCCACTTTGTTGAGCTATCATTTATGCACATATAGCTCAGTGGGCCTTACCTGTTAAAATGAAATGTAAAAAAAGTTCAAAATAGTTTCGAGTCGCGAGACTCATTGAGCATTCCCTGGGCAAACGGCCTTTAAAAAGAAAATGATAAAAGATTCCCCTTAAGCAGGTGAGAGCCGATTGAGACCCGCGCACGTGCAAGAACCCCCCCCCCCCCCCCCCTCCCAGAGGGCTCCCTGCACGGCGCAACGCCTCCACCAACCCGGGTCGTGGAAGGGGACGAGAGCGAAGTTGTGGAGCGTCTTCTCGGGGCGGCTGAGCGACGTCTCCAGGATGCGGGAGGCCCCCTCGATCACCTGCACCCAGTCGTCGTACATGGACCCCGTCACGTCGAACACAAACGCCAGCGTGGAGGCCCCCTCGTCCGGCCGCCCTCCGGCTTCCGAACTCCCCTGGCCAACAGCGGAGACCAGAAGTAGCAGCAGGGGCAGCAGTGGAAGGCGCGATGGCGCGGATGAGCAGGGCATCGACCGGGCCACAAACGTCAGCCCCATCGTCCTGCTCCTCCTGAGAGCCGCCATGCGCGGAGAGTTCGCAGAATTTAGGGGAGGTGTCCCTTGCATCCCCTCACGTCGACTTCATTCAGCACCGTCCAGGGATGGAGCCCGCAGCTTGCAAGAACAGCAACGGATGCGGGAATCAAGCCGCGTGGGCGGGCGTGTGCACGCTGCGTCGACACGGCCAGCGTTTGCTTGCAGGGGACAGAAGGGCTTTTTGAGATGATGATGTCGGCGTTAACGAGTGACCTTCGGAGAGATGATGAACTTAGGGACAGCGAATTCTTCGGTCTTCCTAAAGACCCTGGAAAGTCTCCCCCGCATGTAAACACAAACCGATAAATTTCTGCCGATGGAATCTGAATGAACGACCGTGCACTATAGTAACGAATAACCCAATTTAAAACCCCCAGTGGTGGAGGAATTGACGCGAACGTATTAAAGGCTGATCCCGAGCTACTGCTGCTGCTGCTTTCAGTGCACAGCAGCCGCGGCTGTGTCTGCTGCAAGAGTTTGCCAGGAGCAGCGGAGACAGAACCCAAAAAAAAGCCGAAGCACATTCCTTGACAAGGAGTTCTGAGTTTTAAAGAGCCCCGCGGGAGGTCGAGGGGGTGTGGGGGCAGAACGGAGGTGGGGTCTTACCGCGGGAAGGCGGGCCGACTGCGTGGCTTTACAGGGCTCTGTCACTGGGCGCGCTCAACCCAACATAAGGTTTAAGGGAAGGATTTGGGAAAAGTGCCCCCAGGGGATGAGACGCGTGATGTCAAAAAATGCGGCCGCTGCCACTAATGGAAAGTGATGCAGAACGCCAAACAATGAACAAAGGATGTCAGATAATATTCCGATTAAATTGGTCCTTCCATCGTAGATTTAGTTTCTATTTACATGACTCTGTCAATCCACTGCTGGGTGAAGGTCTCGCCGCACCCTGTTGGTGACGGGGGTTGTTTAACCATACTTTGCCATGCTGGTCAGTGCAAATTTGTGATCTGGGGAGGTGCAGGACCGGTTCAGTTATAATTCGCTACTAATAGCCATGGATTTTGTGGAGTGCCGCTACTAATAGCCATGGATTTTGTGGAGTGCCGCTGACCACTGCGCCACTGCTATCCAGCCAATATACAGCATTATGGATCTATAATACAAATACAGGCGGGAAGTGACGCATTGGTTAGCATACTGCGCTATGAACTCATTGACCTTAGTGTGCTACCCAGTCACCGCTAACATCAGTAGCCGGCGAGGAATCACCCCCAGTGAGCAGCTCGCATCTGGCTCCAATTCCAAATGGCTCACATGGCAAAGCCTAAATAGACTGAAGGTGGATTTAGGCAGATGCAATTCTATCATGAAATACATTGGGGGGGGGGGGGGAGAGGAACTTTCACACAACCGACCAATGTGCTTGTCAAAAAAGAAACCCGTGGATCATATCTCCTGAGATTCCTTGCAGTCACCCACAATGCACTCAAGATTTGCCAATGCCAATAACAGAAGCGGTGGCCTGTGCAGAATATTGGGAAAATACTCGTATGTAGGTCGGACAGGAGACACGACGAAGTGGAAGTAGCAAGTTAAATGTTGACTCGTCTTGGGCCCTCTCCTGTCCTTCACCAACCCATACTGACCAGTTTCGTGAAGTATGGTGGAACAACTCACATGAACTAAGTGCAATGACAGGCCTTCATCCGGACCCGGACTAAGAAAAGGGATGAAAATTGGTTATCAAAATATTTTAACACAATTAAAAGTCCCTTTGGAGCGTCATGCTTTACATGTTGGCATACATGCACGGAACAGAGAGCTCCACTAAGATCTGGACAGCTGCGAGCTCAAACAACCATTTTGGAATCAACTAAGCCTCTCGTCCTTTGACGATCCAAACATAAGTGTCTTTAGATCATAGTGGTTGTCATATGGATATACTGGTCACTGTCATATAAAAATGGAATTTCCATCACTGGCCTAGTGCCCTCAATGGAGGTGAGGAATGCCCCGAACATACAAAATAACATTGCTCCCAGACACGTTGCATGTTTCTCGAGAAAGCCAATGCAAAGAAATTCGCTCAAGATTCACGGTAAAAACTACCGGTGTGCCACCTTCCCAGCCACGACATTCATCAGCACAACACCTGTGTGCCATTAAAATCCACACAGAGTCGAGACATCGCCAGCATGCAACACACAGACCAGCACATAATTGATTAAAAACTCATCCTTTTTCAACTAAAAAGACAAGACTCTGGCGCTTAATGTTGATGGCGAATCCATGTATTTTATTTGGGAAGAACGGCATCCTTAGGCAAGACTGGTTTGTCACCAACGGAAAATGAAGCACCGACTTGTAAACAGAGGTCCTGTGAAATAAATTAGCAATAGATGGAGCACATGTTCCACGAAATAGCCTCTATAAATTACCTGAAGTGTATGCCAGACATGCACTTATAAACCAAAGATGCCGTCACATTAACTCCATTTACAACCCAGCCATTTCGATTGGGTTGAGAATAAAAACATAAATCCGTGAAGGAAACGGCACACGATGGCCTGCTCGTTTAAAACGACGTCGCGGGATCTTTAACGTCCGCTGTGTTGAGCAGGTCACGAGTATTTCACGGTGAATACACCCACAGCAATAACCAGGGCGGCCTTCCGGATTCGAACCCGCAAGGAGCGGGGCGGGGGGGGCGGGGGACGTGCTCCCGCTGGGCACGTCACCGCTCCGTTGGCAAGGTGCGGTGGCATCGATTGCTTTGGCCACGATGGCGTCTTCATCTTGATTGGCAAGAAGCTCGAACTGCGGAACTCGGCAACGTTTAAACCCAAACGGAGCAGACCGTATTAAGGCAGTCCCACGCGCACACAATAAAACGTAGAGACATTTCTAGTTCTATAGAGGCGTGGGCCTTTAGCTTACATGATATCAGAGCACCGGGTGTATCTGAAGACTCGCACTCATTTTTCATTTGTGCAATGTATTTTAATACAAATTACCCCATTGAAATTCTTAAAAGTTGAGTAACTTTTTCATAGTTTTGTTCTCTTTAATGATGTATAATTTTCACAGTAGCTTCCTGATTGGAGCTGCTTACGATTGGAGTAAATTGGTTAAATAAAGCTTATCTTTATGAAACAGTGCATTTTGAATTGCATACACTTAAAATGTTAAAGTAACGTAACTGTACACATTTTCATGCTCAGCAGTGAGATACATTATTTTGGAAGAACACTTACTTTGTCATCTGTGCTATCAAATATATAATTTTCATTGAACAGCACTTCACCAAAAAAGCCCAATGACTGAATCACCCATAATGTGCCCAAAATATCAGATCTGGGAAGCTAAGCAGGCCTGAGCCTGCAAAGTGCTTGGGTGGGCGACTGCAATGTAGAAGAAGTTCGTGGTGGGCAGCAGATGGCAGAACAGCCAAAACCATTGTTGTACTGTCCTTATATGCCCCCACTTCTACGCTCCACGTTCACCAACCTGTACCGACATGGTGAAGTATGATGAAATAGCCCCCATTAATCCGAAACCCACAAGGCATGAGGAGGCCCTCATCCAGTAGTGGACTGACAAAAGAGCTGGCTGACATTGACACAATAGCGTAAAGAGTAAACTGGACAATGTGATTCACAATTGATTCTCGGGTTAGGCCACGTAATTATCTTACCAAATATGTGTCAATGAGAACCCTCCACCACCCAACATGGCGAGACAAATAAGGCTGCCATGGTTAAAAGCGTGTAATAACTATGATTACGCTTTCAGCTCACCAGTGAATTGAAGAACAAATACTCATCACGTTTATCTTGAAACTACGGCAAGTGGCCAAATATCATATCTAATTTATATATTTGTTTGTGAGAACTGTTCTGAAACTCACTGGCAGGTGAGCTAAAACAATAATACTTGGCGTGGTACGCTCGTCCATCTGACATTGATTTGTACTGGAAATTCACCCAGTGACCCAAACATTATTATTTGAGCAAATTCCAAGTAAATGATCTGGCACAGCAAGCTATCGTTTTTTTGCTAAGTTAAAATTTGCTTGCATCCTTTGTATAACATTGGCACTCACAACTCTACCATGCACAAATGCAATGCAGTACAGGTAGTCCTCTACTTACGATGGAGATGCATTACGACGACCCCATAGCAAGTCAAAAATATCGTAAGTCAAAGATGGCCTAGCCTACCCAGGAGTCTTAAAGAATGGTGATAATTTAGTAAAACAGAGCAATTTACAGTACCGTACTGTATAAACTATATACTGTATTTATTAATTACAATACTGTATTGCACAGTAAAATGTAAAGTAAAAAAACAAGGTAAATTCTTAGCCTACCTATATGACATGCAATTCAATAGAAAGTTTTTTCAGGAAAAAAAAACAGAAAAAAAATACACGCGCTAACACCGAGACAACTTAACTCCGTCGACCGCTGGCGAGAGTGAGGCATCACACAAGGCGGGAGATGCGTACATCCCGGCAGCGTCCCAACGTACAGTATCATATCTTGTACGCTGCTGCGTTTGCCTGCCGCGCTAAATTTAAAATATTTTACAATTTTGTCGTATTGCTATCGCCATCGTAAAAATCGAAATATCGTAAGTCGGACCATCGTAACCCGGGGACTATCTGTATCAATGTAGCCGAGCGAAAAACACTGCAACCACGAGTTTTGACGTCTTATTAACTGTGCAACAAGCGGACAGCATTGTATTCCAAAGTGCTCACATGCACATTAGCAATTACCGTTCGGCAACATGCAGTGCAGCAACTTCACTCACCGATTGGCACACATTGGCAAATAGTTTTGTAACGAGATTCATGGAACACGACACCTCACCTGCAGGCCCAACCCATCCCCAAACAAAAAATAAACAAAAACCTCACAAATCAGGTCAACATGTAAACACACATTCGAATGAGGAACACACGATACAAGTTTGTCTGGTGACGGGGGCTATGGCAGGAGACGGGTGAAGCCTTTAGGCAACGGCGGTCGAGACAGGGTGAGGATTAGTGTCATGTTTAGGAGCACAGCACGGGGAACAAACGCAGGGGGTTCATAAGCTGCTCAGTGTCCCGAAGCGGTTTCCAGTTAAGGGACGGCGCATGCTCAAGTTTTTCAACAATAATTAGTTTTGATAACAGTGTCCTTCGCGCGGAGGCATCCGAGAGCGCTTAACAAGCGATAAGCGACTCGCATCGTGCATCTCATCTCAAACATTTGAAAGGGCACCCCCAGCGGCGGCTGTCCCTCTACAGTACGAGGTAACTCAGCGCCTGCCCTGCAAGCAGGCATTGGTTTGCCAGTAGCTTGGTTGCTATATGACTAATCGCAATAAAGTAATTTGAGAGTTATTTTCGAAGTTGTAAAATTTGACCATGACGCCGGCACACAATGGCCTACTTGTTTAAAGTTACGTCACAGCACCTATGCAACAGACTGCGACTTTTTAAGCTTAATGTACCTGCACTGAAAACCAGGGTGGCCGACTGGCTCCAAACTCAAACCTATGCAACAAACAGTGAATGCGCTACCCACTGGGCCTATGTCACCGCCCTGATCGCGGTACGATCCTGCAGTTAGTGTGAAATTGAACCGGCCACGTCAGGGCAAATAAAAAAGACACCGCGCACTGCCGACTCTCAGACACTTGGGCTGGATTGTCTCTCAGCGGTATCTCATCGGTCACGTCAGACCACCGACTGGCTGACTCGGAGCGCTCGTCCTGCCGGCTAGCTCTTGAGCCAGGAGAAGGTGGTGCGGCGTGGCTTGCGTGTCTGCGTCATGATACGCGCCACGCGGGCCGAGCGCCACACCTTGAGCGTGTGATCGGCGCTCGCCGTCACCGCCATCTCCTGTTCCACGGGGCTCAGCGCCACCGAGCTCACGCAGTCGTCGTGCGGCAGTCGCGCCAGCCGCACGCTGTAGTGCCGGTCCCAGATGTAGCCGTTGTGATCCTCTGAGCCGCTGCAGGAGTCAATGCACACAGACAAACGTCCCAGGCGCTCTCGTTTAGCCGATAAGGACGGACGGTCACGAGTCAATTTCAATCGGGTCGGACCAGGTCAGTGACCCAGAAAAAAAATTTCCACTACATCTGCCGCTATTGTTGTGGCTACTAGTCATGCGTCTAATGCCGTCTACCAGGAATTCAGAAAATAGTCAGGTGCAATTGCTAAGAGTTGTGGTAACTCACAGTATTATTACACTTGTTTATCCCTGAGCTTGGAAAAAGAGACGATGGGAGAGAATTCTACAGTTTGAGCAGTGGGAAGTAACAAGCAAACATTAGAAGTGTTTGGACTTATGGTGATTATCATGTTTGTTTACCCAGGAAAACCTCACCGATTCTCACGACTCCGATTCAAGAGGGTCCTGCAAAGTTTATATTGTAGGGGGCGATGATCGCGATGTATATTCCAATTAAGACCGAACACGGTATACGGATTCCTCAACACGTGTCATAGTCACACGAGATGGTGCGGTCATGGTGCTCGCAAGCCCCCACGCTTGAAGCCGGCGTGCAACGCTGCCTGACCTCGCGATGAAGTGGCGGCTGACGTGCAGGTGGAAGAAGCTGCACTCGTCGGTGGGGGTGTAGGCCCGCTGGGCGCGCGGCGTGCGCTTGAGCTCGCGCGCCGTGCCCAGCTCGTACACGCGCAGCTCCATCTCCTGCGCGATGGGCGGCGGGTTGAGCGGGTCGCTGATGATGCAGCCCTCGGGCCACGCACGGCAGCTCACGTACAGCAGCCTGCGCACGTCCACCCAGAGCAAGGTGGTCAAGGGCGGGCGCTCTCTGCCGAGCAGGCAGATGGAAAATACTTGGTGGCTCAACTACAACTGCCTTTTTTCCAACAGTGTCTCCAAGAATCATGCAGCTGCAGTGGCTGATGTAAAGGCGATGTCCTGTGCTTTCAGAACCAACTGTCTTTTTACATAATTTTCTCCAGTTTCAGAATCAGAAGTTTATTTCCCGAGTAAAGCCCATTGAGCAAAGAAACTATTTTATACGCTTTCATTTAACACACTCTTTATGTTGTTGTTGTATCCTCAAACTTGTAACTACATTTTAACCCATTTCCCAATGTGGTATCGACTGCAAAACTTGGTATACTTATGTCATACTGATGGCAATACTATATTCTATCATAAACAATATATATTTTCAAACATTTTTTATATGTTATGTTTCGGCTTGGGTCTAATTGTCCACGGTCAACTGACGTTGGCTGTAATTGTACGTTATGGCAAGCTTCGGGGTCACTTCCTGGAGTCGTGGAGTTCTTCCATTACTAGTACATTTCATAAAAGCATGTTTTTCAATTTTTTGTTAAAATATATTACATATTTCAAGGGTGACTCGGCTGGCAGACAACATCGATTGTGCTTTAGCCATCATTTCACAAGATCAAGTATCCATCTGGACCGTTGCAAAAGAGTGGGGGGGGTGGGGTGGCACGTGCCCCCCTCCCAATGATCCGATCGAAATCCCTAATTTCGATCGGATCATTGGGGTTTATTAAGAATAAATCGGCATTTTGTGACCCCCCACTGCCACTGGACTCTATGAGATGATAGGACAATAGTCTGAGTCCATAATTGGAAATAAGTAACGGCAAAGCGGTTATAAGTGATTTACAGAATTGTGCGCAGTTGCGTATACAGTAAACGACTTCCCTGAAGGCATTCACCTTCAGCGAGCGCGATGGCTATCACACACGGTTCAAATTCGACCCTCGATCGATGGCTGTGCTCTCGCCTTACACGCGTCAAATAAAAAACAAGGGACAAGTCCTTACTTACTAACAACTCCTATCATTTTTCATTGCTGGAGGGGTTGCCCCCCCTACCTGAAAATCCTGGCTCCGCCATTGAGTGTAACCCTTCATGTTAGAGAATAGCCCACGGAAGCGGATATCACAGAGCTACCTCTGAGATCCTTTCAAATTACATATGGGTGGTCCAGTAAGGGGAAGCACTTTCCAACTCACTGTCTTCAAATTCTGGTCACAAGATAGTTAAATCAAATTATTTTTTGGGTTGAAATTGAAATAAATTAATTGAAGAACCGAATTTAAGTGAGGATTTTGTCATTGGCTACTGGGCGGAGACTGTCAACTCACTACCCTTGAGAGCCCGGTTTATTCACCGACAGCTACCTGGATTCAAAACCAGGAGCTCAGCGGTGTCAGCTCAGTGCTCTGACCCCTGCATCACCTGACAACCTCACAGGTGCATTCGTTTAGAAGGAAACCATCGTGCCTGTGATCCGGAGACAGCCCCATGCCCACGACATGCCCCCGCACGTCGATCAGGTGGTCGATGCAGTCAAAGAACTCCTCATGGCCCGTCTCGTCAGGGCAGTCGCACGACATCTGCTCGGCGGCAATGCGCTTGATGCCTTGGCAGGTACGAAAGGTAAAATCAGATGCCAAGAGTTGTCTGTCACAGTGGGCCAAGATAACCACGATTGTATAACAAAAACACAAATTCAGCTTGACTTATGACCAGGTTAGAGCCCAGTGAGACGAATGTATATATATTTTTTAATGACCTTCGTTACAAAGTCAGCAATTTAAAATAGAACAATCACAAAAACCCCATAAAGTTTAATAATGTAATATTGTACAGCCCTTTGTTCATCCACTGCTGAATGATGGCCTCTCCATGCTGTGCCTGTCATGGAAGTTGTCAGACCATACTTCACCATGTGGGTTGGTGAAGGGGGGGTGCCCCCAGTATAGGTTCTGATATCACTAGTCAATGACGTCATCCATGACCAGAAATCCCACTCAGGGAGCTAGGATTACAAGAAAGTGTGCTAACCACAATTGCTAGAGCAATCTACTGCAGACTACACAACTACTGCAGACAATGTATGTGAAACATTTATCAAATGTACTAATCACCAAACACCCCATCAATCACACACACACACACATCATACAAATAAAAAAACACCACCACCGCTGCTATCACGATCACAGCTACGGCCTTCTCGCCGTGTGCTAGCTCACTCACCAATCTTGTGCGGAGTGTAGGTGAGCCCCCCTTTCACGAAGATGAGGTATTTATGGGGGCAGCTGTCGTCGGCATCGGACGTGGCGCCGCTGCTCGACTGGCTACTCGGCTGCGTGGAGGACGATGCCGACGCTGACGGCAGCGATGCCCGCGCTGATGCCGACGTCGAAGCAGCGGTAGCTGCAGTGGCAGGGGAGTCGGATCTGTGAGTGGCATCCGCTGCCCTCTGCACCCGCTGATTTCCCATCACCAAATGCGCCACCATCGCCTCCAGCGCGGCGTCATCCCTACAGCCTGATCCCCAGGCCTCCCTCTCGGGCCGAGCTGCCTCGTCCTCCGCTCCTGCGTGCGACAAATACGACACACTTGACAGCGTTCCATTCGGGTCACTGTGAGATAGTTCTTTAGCTTCCGTAGAATTCTGACCCCGGGGTGACAATATATATCACTTGACACTACTCCCCTCTCCAGCCAGATTGGGTTATTCTTATTTCCCTTCCCAAGAGTTTTAATTAAGTTTTGAGTTATCCTGTTAGTCGTGTATCTTATTATAAACAAAAAGCCAATTTGACACCGATCCTATTGGCTTAATTGGGAGGATTGTGGTGCAATGCCTGTTTGTCATGTGCAGTGGTGTTGCACCTTCGGAGTCCGGTGTGTGGCTGGGGTCTGTCTCCATTACGGGGTGACATCCAGGCAGCCACACGGACTTCAGGGCGAGGGGCAAAGCAGAGACAGCTGTTTTAAGCAGTGGCACTTAATGAGGTATATAAGGTGTTCATGCAGCCTTTGCAAAATAATTACCATTATGATTATGTCAGTAATGTTATGAGTCTCTGACCATCTTTACAGCAGAACATATTTAAGAGGGAGGGATGAGTGCATGAGAAGGGTGTGCATGAATTAGGGAGCGGGGGACAATAGTGAATGATAAGGAGGGGATGAGGTGAGAGTTGATAATGGGAGCATGAGTGAACGCACCCCTGCTAGCTTCCCCCCTCTCATCTCACTCTAATCCCATCCACACACTCTCCTCTCCATCAACCAAGACTTTCTGTTGAAGCCACCAGTCAACCTTCACTCAGAGGAAGGTTGCCCACAGTCTGCAACTCCCCTCCACCAGTCATCCACACTGTCAACTCCTTGCCATTGTTCAAGTCCAGCCTCAAGACCTTCCCCTCTCTCTTCTGCCATTGACTGGTTGCTTCCGTCCACGAAAGAAGCATGCCCACCGTTTCTGTACAGCGCCCTGAGCTGCTGTCGCATTTAGACGCTGTTATATGCATCCACCACTTGTTTTGTGAGGTGGGAGGAAGGAGGCAGGGAGGAGGAAGCTTTAACCTGTAGCTCGGGGTCGTCGTCGGTGCTGCAGTCGGCACGCACACGGCGGCCCGGGTCGGCGACCATCACAGCGCGCACCGTGCTCGCGTTCAGATTCTGGAACTTGAAGAGCCTCCGCACCACGTTGAACGTCTCCGACTCGATGTCCTGCCAGACGACCAAGGTGGGTGGACAACAACCTTGCTCACTCAAGCCGGCGCTTGTAAAGCATGTGTCAATGTTGGCTGGAGAGGCGGCCCAGTGGTTAGCGGACTGCACTACGAACCCAGCGAGCCGAGTTCGATTCACGGCCACGGTGAACATCGGTGATCAATGAACCGGCCCTGAGCACCTTCCACCGCTTTACCAACCCGAACTGGCATAATCAAATGACCCCCGTGATCGACACGATGTGTGGAGGCGTTCATCCAACAAAACGAAAGTCACGTTTAACACGTTGCCTAAAGAAAAGGAAATTAAACAACTTCATGCAATAACAGGAACAATGATCATAATTATTGTGATGATAATAATAATTAAGTAATGCCTGGAAGGCCTTGTTGAGCCAGAGCACGGAGCAGGACGTGAGGTTTCCCATCCAGTGCACGGTGCCGGAGATGAGGTGTGTCTCGTTGAGCCAGCAGCCGAACACCGTGTATGGCTTATTCCTCACGCGCGACAGCAGTGAGAAGTCGTCTGTATGGTACGGCAGAAGGCGACACAGCAAGGCACAGCTCAATGAGATACAGCAAGGAATGGCAGAGCACGACTCAGCAAGGAACAGCTCAATGAGACACAGCAAGGCATGGCAGAGCTTGACAGCAAAATACAGTTCAGCATTGCACAGCAAGATAGCTCAGTGTTGACACAGCAGAGCAGAGCATCGCGCAGCAGGGCAGTTATGGATGAAAACAATCAGCCTGGTAGACCGAGTCCTCGACCCAAGTGGAGGAATCAACCGAGTGAATTTCACGGGAACAGTAACCATGGTAGTAGCGATAGAAGTGATAGCAGCGATTGACATTATATAATTACACGGCACAGTGTCGTCCCACGCCCTACCGAGGTTGAAGACGGCGATCTCTCCAGACGAGGCATTGTGCGGGCCAACGTGCACGCCCGACACGAGCAACAGCGAGTCGTCCTCGTTGAACTGCGAGAACTGCGTGTGCTTCCAGTTGTACTGCCGCATGCTCTCGCTGTATAGCACCGACACCTCCACGTCATTGCTCCACACCTGCGCGACGGCAACACAGGCCGGAGAGGCCGGTTCATGGGGACGTGCGCTTTCGCGATTGTTATGACGATAACATGCAGGACGGTGGGCGGAAATACAAACTGTGCCACTCTGCCACCCATAATACAGTACATCCTCAATACTATGCAGCTGATGTAAGGGTAGGGTGCCCTGAAATATTTTTGTTAAAGTTTTGCGACTCAAGTGAGACTTTTCTTGGATAAACCTGAATACGTCAATACATACCTGAATAGGTCTATATTTAAAATGAGCCTAAAACCAGTTTCAAATTCTCACATGACTCTGTTTTTCATTTAGTTTATAGTTGCTTCATTGTTGTACTTTATTTTATTTTGCTATTGTAATTTTGATGACCAAGGACACTCTGGCAAATGTGACTATCCTGGTCTCTTGAGTTCTCAGCGGGCTATACACAATAAACTTCAACCGACCCACACAGACCAGCATGGTGAAGTGTGGTAAAATAACCCTCAAGACCCAACACAACGTGGAGAGGCCCTCATCCAGCAGTGGGTTCACAAAAGGGGCTGCACATGTATAAAACAACACATTCGCAGAGACGTTCAGCGGTGTATCATAGCGGCCGGAGCAGCACAGTCAGTACCTTGACGGTGCAGTCCTTTGAACAGGAGGCAAACATGAACCCATTGTGCGAGAAGGCGACGTGCAGCACTTGGTCCTTGTGCTCCTTGAGCACTGCCACCTCCACGCAGGGGACCGCGTCGGTGAGACGCCGGAACTCCAGCAGCCACGAGGACACACCTGGTAAACACGCACGCCCATCGAGTGTCAAACCAGCAAAGACTAAACCAGGCACCGATCAATGCGACAGTAATTCGGCATTTAGCGGTGGTATTTTACATTATAGAGTTAAAAAATGTATGAATTACATCATAACTGTAATCATCATTTCGAGTGCCAAGTCTGTTCAGAGAAATTCCTTCCAGCCCTGCAGAACTCAAGAGAGATTGAGGAAGAGACCAATTTAGGTAATTTAGTAATTGCGGGTAATTCTATAAATTTGGCCTCAACTAAAAGGCCCTATTGTTGTGAACAATATCATAGTATATTTTATGCATTGGAATGATTGTGGAGGGTATAATGCTTAGATTCAATTTGTGAAATGTATTATCATGGAGCTCAGCTTGGATATGAACTGGGCATTCTAAACTCTAGGCTACACAACTGCCCATATAGTCTATGGAAAATTATTGTTAAAATCCATTAATGTGAGAGACTTAATTTTCTTGAAGGCCAAACTGCATATTGTGGTTATGGAAAATAATATGCAGTTAACTCTACTTAAATGCAAACCACATACATGCAGTTTGCTTAACTGCATGCTGCATTGTTAACCCTTCCATTACTTACCAACTACGTGCACTTGTGATATTAAATACAAGAATAATCACGGGGTGGAGTGGTGGCGCAGTGGATTACGCACTGCGCTATGAACCTGGTGACCTGAGTACGATTCCCAGCCAAGGCTTACATCAGTGGTGATATAGGAACCGGTCCTGGGATCCCATCTTTTTTGACCAAACCACAAAACCCAGTGTGAAGTATGGTCAAACAATCCCCATTACTGACACGATGTGGGATACTTTATTTAAAAAAAAGCTTGTTGACAATGGGCTGTAATTACAAAATTAACAATAGGCGGCATCGACGTTTTTAGCCATGATTACATCATTATCTTGACCAAATAATAAAAAGTGTGCTAATGACAGCTTCCCACTGGTACACCCCTTCATCCTAAAGAAAACATTAGCATAAATTTAGAATAAAGTTTGTAATTTTTCACCCTTGATTTGCTGCATGTGTCATAGCTTTATGGATCTACATTAAAGCATTGAATCAATAATTCACTATGTAACACGATTTTTGTTCCTGGGTAGTGTTATTTTCTAATTGCTTATGCCTAAAAAGTATAGAAAATGGCTATTATTCCCCACAAACTTTACTTTTGTGACCAGGACTTCATGTGTCAGAATGACACAAATGCACACGTTTTCTCATTGAAAATAGGTAAATTTCAAAATATCACTGTCCTGGTCACAAAAGCAAAGTTTGTGAGGAATAATAGACATTTTCTGTATTTTTGAGGCATAAGCAATTGGAAAATAACGCTTACTACCCAGGAACATGACATGCCGAGTTAACTGCGTGCTCCATTGATGCACACAACTTGGTGTGGAAGCCTTACAAATAACTAGTCTGGAGTCGACTGTGTCTGTGTGCGTCGATAAATGAAGACAAAGACCCCCGTATAGCCTTGACAGTCTGTTGGGACCAATGCTGTTAGCGAGCACCTATGAAGGCCAGCATGGCACATGAGGGGTGGCCAGCACCAAGCCCAGCCGCGTTTGTCTCCCTAGTGGAGATGCTTACACACCGCACCAGGTACTCATTTGAGGCCGAGTCGACCTCGGGGAGGCCCAGGACCGGTTCAGATATTCGTCACTTGTTGGCCGTGAGCGGGAATCAAACTCGGCTGGCCAGGATCGTAGCGCAGCGCGCCAACTGCTACACTACCGTGCGTGCGTGTAGATAAACCAATACCCGCCGTTCGCCACTAAGTGACGGTGACGTCGCCACGTTGCCTGTGCCAGGCCAGGTGCACTTTGAGGCCACGTGAAGTGTCGAAGGCTCGCTGACAGGAGGTCTCGGGACAGATCCAGCTGCCATGGGTTGGCTGACTGAGATGACTGATAGATGCACCAGCTTGTACCCCCTACTGCGCCAACTTTTTGTTTGTCGATAAACAGACACACAGAAAGAGAAACTTAAAAAATGTGATGTCTAACCGGGCATGCGCGGCACCGAGCGATTGATGCCAAAGTGGCGGTAGAACAAGTCCTTCCACAGGAACTCATCGCGCGAGACGAAAAACCACTGGCGGCAAACGGCGCTGACCGCCACCAGCTCCCCAAGCTTGAGATACGAGAAGACCTTCAGCACCACGCAGTCCGGCAACTCCGTGGTCGCCTCGAACATCTTAGCTCCACCGCCGCATGGGCCAGCAGGGCATGCCTCTGATCTGCACGGCAGAAATGACACAATCACGCGGGACATTACACAATGTTGTGATTTTTTCAGATCTTGGAAGCTAAGCACGGCTAAGCCTGGGTAAGTGCTTGTATGGGCTATCACCATGCATAAAACAGGTGTTATAGGCTGCTAGGAAGCTGCACTTATGGGCAGCACAGGACTGTGCAGCAATATGCATTGTTGTACTGTACTTATATACTCCCACGTCTCTTGTCTTCCACCTTTATCGCACACTGACCAGAGTGGTAATAAGTAATATTTAAAAATACTTTTTTTTTAAACACGCTTTAATGAAATGTACCCTACTCGTAATGGTAGAACTCCACGACTCCAGGAAGTGGCCACAAAGCTTGCCATAACGTGGTGATTTACAGCCAACGTTAGTTGAGCGTGGACAATTAGACCCAAGCCGAAACATAACATATAAAAATGAATGTTTAAAAAACTTTTTTATATATAGAATATAGTATTGTCATCAGTATGACATAAGTATACCAAGTTTGCAGTCGATACCACATTGGGAAGTGGGTTTAAATTGAGTTACAAGATTTGAGGATATGACAACAGAGAGTGATAGGAATAGGCGTCTTTTGGTCCAACACCAGTGGAGACTAGGCTCTGAGAAAAGCTATCTCGGGTGTGGACCAATCAAATTCAAGGACAGTGCATATTATTATCAGAGTTGTCTTTTTTGTTTGCATTCTGACTGCTTGTGTTGTGGTTATTGCAAACATGCCTTGAATAAAGGTGTCAGTTTGTGTGCCAGTTAAAAGGTTAAAACCTATTCCTATATCTTGTTTCTGGCAAAAGGAGGTCTCATAATGTAAACAGCGAGTGAGTTAAATAAAAGCGTGTAAAAAAGACCAAATAACCCCCCACAACAACCTGCATGGTGTGGGCAAGCCCTCATCCAGAAGTGGATTGACACAACATATCTGTACATCTACATGAGGTTAAAAGTACCACTTTGTCTACGGATAAGCTGATCCGTGCCAATCAAAGGTCATCAACCTACCACCGAATGCGTCCTCAATGAGCCACTTTTAGTTTAACACGTAGGCTTTCATAATAAACTTTTTTTTTGGGTTAGATCGCGTTATTTATAATCTAAACCAAAAACGTTTATTATGGGCCACTTTTATGATGTGACCGAGGCAAGTGCATCAGAATGATGTTTTTATCTAACCGGTCTTGACTCAACATTCCATTTCTACAAAGGTAGGAATATTTTCCATCCAGTTCTTTTGGACTGAGTAATGGTGCTGTTTTTTTGTTATTGTTTTAAAAGGCAAATAAATACGGTGGTTTGTTGACATACACACAACACGCCCATCCTCCCTGGAGCACATCCCAGGATATCGGCGTCTCTAAACCCCCCCCCCCCCAAAAAGCCACCTTGGAGAGAGTGCGAGAGATTCTCAAGATAACCGCACGTTAAAAATGCCGTGGCGCAAACGTTTAATGCAAACGCCGAATACAACAAAGCAGCATGAGCCAAGAACTGCAACACCGACAACTCGCTCGAATCTTAAGCTAAAGGGAGCCCAATAAAACCTGTACAAGAACATCCCAGACGACAAGTGGCTTAACGACATGCTTACACAGCGCTAATATAGGTTTATTTGTGCGTGTGTTTGTGGGGGGGGGGTTTATCGCTTATTATATAATCCATATTATGGGTGGATATAATGGGTATTGGCCGCGAAAGCCTACGTGTTTACACAGCCCCACCCGCATCGCCATCAACACGCGCGTGAATTCGGGCACACTCCACGTTCCCAGCGACGCGGCCGAGGAACGTTCAAGCCACGGCGCGCGCGGGGGGGGGAGGACCCTCTTGCCTCGCGCCTCAACGGCGACGTTGCTTCGCGGACCGACGTGACGGCGAAACGACGAGGCCGCCGCCGTACGCCGCCGAGGCAAATTCGGAGCGCGTCACCACCACCAGCCCCCCACCTCAGCACCGCGTTAGTCTCTTGCACCGCGGCTTTTGCATTCCCCAGCGTGGATAAGCGCCTCCGAGACGGTTTAAATCGACGGCGTCACCCCCCCCCCACCAACAACCTCTCAACCGCGTGCGAAACGTCGGCGACATCTTGCGTAGGGAAGGGTTTAACGTTAGAGGGGGCCGTCGGTGGCGGTGACGTCGGCGGTGACGGCGGCGGCGAGGCGAGCCCGCGCGGCGCTGCCCCCCCGCCCCCGTACAAAGATGGCGGCTTGAACTTGCGACGCTTTGATGACGTCACCGCGCTGCTGGATGAGGACAAAACAAATCTCAAGTTGCCTCGCGAACTTTATTGACGAACGTCAATTAATGAACGTGTTCGTCAATAACGCGGTGGCCTTACGAGGGAAAAAAACCCAATATACAACTGGCGGCGTTTCGGGCAAAAAAAAGGGTCCTTCTGCGAAACAGCCGCACGCAACACCCGTGAGGGTGATTTTGACCATACTTCACCATCACGCTGGTCAGACGCGAGGGATCAAACAGTACAGGGTGGTCCAGATGTTGTGACCCCTGATTTCATTGACCCCCACGTTTATTTTCCCCCTGTTGCGTGTCCGTTTATGGCTGAAACTAACCTGAGAAAATATCAAGTTTTAGAGATTTAAAGCTTTCGTGACATCTGGAGCACGCTGTACAATGGATTTTGCTTGCAGCCGATAACACCTAAAGTCCCAACACCGTACTCTTTGGTTCTATTGAATCTACTCGGTAAAGTCACGTAGGTAAAAAATTAAAACAACAAAAATCACGACGTTTCGGCCACAACACAAGCGGCCTTCATCAGGTGAAGGGACCAACCTGTCCAGCGGACAGCGTTGGAGTGAAGAAAGCCAAGCGCTGGTCACCTCCCTTTAAGTTGTGAAGGGGCAAACAGCAAACGCCCTGACAAAGGAAATTAGCATGAAAAGCATCACTGACAAAGCTTGGAATTAGCACAAGATGATAATACACCACCCTGGGAGTTTGGAATACCACTACTAGAATAAATATACTGTACCATTGAAATTTAGATTTGAAGCTTTCGTGCCTGCAAGGATCCATACTCATTGGTTCTATTAGGTAAAGTCACGTTAAGCTGTGACGGGGCAAACAGCCAACGCCCTGACAAAGGATATTAGCATGAAAACGCACCACTAACAAAGCTTGGAATTAGCACAAGATGATAATTCCAAGCTTTGTCAGTGATGCTTTTCATGCGAATTTCCTTGTTCAGGGCGTTTGCTGTTTGCCCCCTCACAGCTTAAAGGGAGGCGACCAGCGCTTGGCTTTCTTCACTCCAACGCTGTCCGCTGGACAGGTTGGTCCCTTCATCTGATGAAGGCCGCTTGTGTTGTGGCCGAAACGTCGTGATTTTTGTTTTAATTTTTTTATTTTTCCTTCATCAGGTGTGGCCGAAACGTCGTGAGAATATTATTGTGTTATTTTATTTTATCAATTTATTATTTTATTCTCATTCTACGTGACTTTACCGAATAGAACCAAAGAGTATGGATCCTTGCAAGTCACGAAAGCTTCAAATCTAGAATCCCAACACCGTATTTCACGTACCCAGTCACATAACCCGAACAAGGACAGTGTTGTTAGGCCGTTGCATTTATTCGGGGGAGAGGAGGACACTATCTTGATTTTAAGGCTTTCGCGACGTTTCGGGCGCAACACAAGCGTCCTTCATCCCCCACGTGATGACGGATTTATTTTATACCTACGTGACTTTACCGAAAGAACCAAAGAGTAAGGACGACACTATTTACAGTCGACTGACTCATTGCCGCTTCAGTTGCTCCACTGCCGGCAGATGGCAGTGCACCAAAATCCACGTGCCTCATCCTCGCCTTCAAAAACCCGAAGGGACGAAGTGTGGGGCCAAATGACCACCACGATCCCCCACGGCGCTGGGAGGTCCTCATCCAGCAGTGGAGTGTGAAAATGAACCTGTGCATGCGCGATCTGTATTGATATCGACCATAAAAGGCGCCAACCCTCCTGTAAAATTTAGCAAAGGGACATACAATGTTTGGTTCACGAGTGGAGTTGGTCCATCGGTAAGCCTGCCAAATTACCTCCATAAATGGTTACCCGCAAGGGACCGAAATTGTAACCATGCATGGGACGTTCGTTAAACGGGAATTTTGCTAATTTATATTCCGTCGCTTTGTATTGTATAGCTTTTATTGATTTTCAGCAGGAAGGGCCCAGTAAGCTGTTAGGCTCTGTTTTTATGGGCAAAATGTTTTTAGACTTGAGTTTCAGAAAACATGACATTTTAATATTTTTCCAGTAAAATGCGTCCAATGACTTTCTTATACGGCACTTTGATATTGCACAGTCATGCATCAAAGAAAACGTTATTATGTATGGCTGGTTACAGCAAAGGGAAACTGATTGGTTGGTGTATTATTTTATACTACATTGGATCTTATATTACCGTAATTCGTAACACATAACGATAGACAGCTGGCCATTCATCAAACACTAGGTGGCACCAACAGTGGAATCTGAACACCAAAATGCACACAGCATCCATTCCGCTTTCCTTGGCGTTTCCATTACATTGTAAGGAGGCAGTGTGATTTGCCAAGAGTTTAAGAATGCCCCACTTCGAAGGTAGTTGAGTTGCTCATGGGGATAATTCCAATGTCAGGGTAGAAAGCCATCACCTAGGAGAGCTTGTTTTTTTAGCTCTGGAGCAGAGGGGAGAAATGAAGATTGCATCGAGTCACTGCCAGAGGGCCCTCAATTGAGATAGGTGTTGATTGTCTGTTCTCTGCTCAATTATTGATTATCTCGTATAAACAAGTATAAAAAAATACTCAAACTTTTGAGTTTGTAGTTCGTACCACTACCATATACCACTCAATTTTTTTATTTTCTATATTTATAATGGAAAAATATTGTTAAAGAGTATGAGTTTAGAATGCATTGTGTGCATTCATTTTACTTCATAGACGTCTGGCATTTGGATATTTTTGCACTGTTCTGGTGGTTTAGATTTTAATTGCAGAGTTTTGCATTTATACAGTAGTTTCATTTTGAAATAATTTATCTCATTCTTCCCCACACCTCTGATTAGTACGATTGGCAATGTACGGTGCGAAAAAAGTTCCACACACATACATAAAATATATGTGCATCTTTATGGGTCCTGTGTGAAGCCTTGAAAATATTTACACGATCAAACACATGCACAACAAAGCTCATTTACATTGGTGACCTGTTACTAAAATTCCATATTCCGATGACAGGATACCTTTTATTCAGATGATATATAGTCTGAGCAAAACATTTCACAGGCTCAGGACATATTCTCAGGTGAAATATTAAAAAAGTTATTTTCAGTCCTTTGTCAATCCATTGCTGAATAAAAGGCCTCCCCGCAGAATGTCAGTAATGGGGGTTTGACCATACTTCACGCTGGTCAATGCAGGTTGGTGAATCAAACTCAGTTTGCCAGGTTCATAGCACAGTGTGCTTACAATGGCACCACCACTCCCCCTCTTATCCAAAAGAGGAGGCAAAATACTAACGTGTCAAACTGAAGAGATGCAACCCATTGAATCAATATAAGACAGGACTGACAGCGCACTCTGTTCTGTCTTTTTTTTTAAATTGTACTTGCTCTGCATGTGAATAAACTACACATTTCATCCACATGTCATGGATGCATTGTATGTGACAGTTTAACAGAGCAATCTTCCAAGTATACATTTTCTTCCAAGTTTGGTCACATTATTGACCGACACACAATAACTCCTTCATTCAAATAATACGGATTTTTTTTGTAGTACAAGGGAGAAACCAAACTTAATACACGACGATGTTTTTTTAGACATTTGTGGGTTTAATATCTCGTTCTCAAACCTTTTGGTTGTCCATTTTGTGCCATCTATTGTTAATTATTTACATTTGTTGACATTTCACATCTCCACTGGTTGCCTTCAGCGCGAACACAGATGTTTATCCACAAACAGCCAATTGGAAATAAATAATTCAAGCACAGGGAAGACCCATCGCTGTACAGGCTCGTTCTGCTTGTGTACGATCCTACCAGGTTAAAAATTGATGTGGTCTCGCCTTTGCCATGGTCAAGTGCTCACAGTAAGCTACCTAGAGGGCTTCAATGCCAATTATTTCGAGTCAGATGTCTTGTTTACTGAAGCTATACCGTACAACAAAAAATTGACAAACAATTCTTGCATTCTCCCATATGAATGTCATTTCTTTATTTGCCAGCGAGAGCCTCACTAAGCCCCAAGCCTGTTTTTCACGAGGGACCTGAATGGAACGTAGTGTCAGATTTGATTTTGATTGTTTGTGTGCAAGAGGAAACCAATTTTTCTGTGGGGAAAAAAAACAAGCAGTCACCAGGGGAGAACAATCAAACCCTACATTTTAGCAACCGACTTGCCGTACTGCTTCCTAATGCCACACCACTTTTCTTCCAGAGCACACTTTAAATTGCCCTGCATGTATTTTATGATTTAACATTGATTTTCATTTGTGCGATATTTTTATTTCTGAAGTAACACAGTTGTTTTTGTTCTGATTTCAATTTGCTTCATTTCTGTAATGTATTGCTTTAGTAATTCTGGTGACCCCAGGTCACTCTTGCAAACGAGACTCAACCTGGTCTCCTGATTAAACAAAGTCAACTTGAACCTGAAACGGATACATTCATTCGTCCAAGGCGGAGGTTTTAGGGGTTGTGCTGTTTAACTTGAGAACACAATGGAGGGCTGAGTTATATGTTATTTCAATTAAATGTACATTTTACTTGCAATGCCGTTATTGAGGATAGCCCTTCATCATCAACCACAATTTTTAGAGACAAAAATGGTGTCTTACAGACTTGACACCTTCAATGGCCGAACACTGAATTATGTATTTCATTATCTAATGGCAAAAACCTTGTCCTATTCATACGACTGGTGGCAGGGTGGCGCAGTGGTAACGTTTGTGCCTCACAGCAAGAAGGCCCTGGGTTTGGTTCCCGAGCCGAGTGCCTATCTGTGCAGAGTGTGTACGTATGTACTCCCCCTGTTCTGCATGGGTGTCTGCTTTGGATTCTCCGATTTCTCCCTTCACTTAAAAAAAAAAAAAAC